CCATATACCCAATCCGTTGCACAATAAAATATCCAAAATAATCGCATCCCACCAACATTCTTGAAAGTTTGGTAGCAAATGAGCAAATAACACCTAAATTAAACACTTTAGATAGTGTTCTCAGTTAAAAGTATGAAAAATCTTGAATAAACTACATGAAATCAAATTAATAAGCTTCTATAGGCAAAAAGAAATTCATTTTTTTTGAATTTTTTGAAATTAAAGGGTAAAAGGAAACTTATTTAAAACTATATTGAAATAAACTAATTTTTTTGGAACAAAAAATATAAAGTACTTCAGTTAATTCCCAGGCAATACTGATATACCAGCATATGATAGAATGGCGAATAAGCAAAGCTTTCATTGCCCAACCAACAAAATGACCAATGGCAAATACATCCATGTAGCCCCATAATCGCTCCAATGTGATATCGGAACAGTTAACAGCATAAGCCTTAACAGAAACTAACTAATAACTATAAACAACTGGTCCAACAATACCGACAAAGATCATTTGAGGAAAACAGTACATATATTTTCGCGTCATACATCCTAATATACAATGCATTTATAAGTATTAAGGCAATAGCAGCGTAACGTAACTGAAATATTTGGATTAGTCTTGAATCACCAGAGAATCTCAGTATAACTCGGAATAAATCAAAAACTTACTTTTTCATCCAATTTTTCTTTACTTAAACCTTGTGGATCAAGCCATTTCAACACATCTTTTATATCACGAAAGTTTTGAAACAATGCAAACTGAAGCATTAGTATATACAAGACACTCATACCAAAAATAATGCGCCAGAAAACCGGATGTGGACGAATAAATGGACCTAAAATTCCTCAAAAAAACCGCTAATACTATATGAAACAAAAAGAAAAAGAAGAGGATAATTAAATTCACCATTCGGAAATGTGAGACCACTGACAACAAGAAATAAAACAACTGCAGCAATAATACCAGCATAAATATTAACGCCTGAATTGTCATCATTCCTAGAATATTTAATATCTTTCATTTCTTAAGTTCTTGTCTTAATAATGCTGCCTACACTTTCTTCATCAAATAATCAATAAATCCGTCATCAGATTTTGACTAATCAATAAATCCGCCAGCAAGTTTTAAATATCAACAATTTTTTTTAAAACGACGAATGAATCATGGAATCGTTATGAGCACTGAGTAAACTAAAATAAGTAAATGAATAAGATATTTCCAAGCATTAACCTAAGTTAGAAAGAACTCGAGGAAATGCAAATTAAACTGCAATGGTATGTTACCTATTAAACGCGGGAATAACGAGCAACGCACAAATGATAATAAGAACCGTAACTGTCCGTGGTTTATAAAAAAATTCCAAAGTAACGTCGTTTACAACACGTTCATTGATAAGTCGATAATGTATACAATCCAGCTCACGTCCCGTATATTTTTGGTGCTTTTCAGCACTACAAATAATTGATTGCACATCGTGATATATATAACATCGATGAGCAAATTCATTTCAAAAATGAAAAGTTTGCATATTTTGGTTAACTTAAACTACTAAGTACATTTTTTAATTAGCAAATAATTAATTAACTAAGAGTTATATTCATACAAGTGTTCACTTCTCCATGATTTAAATAATTGAACTAAGCAAGTTATGATCTGATAAACTTCTTATTTAAGGTAAAGTTGACGAGATAATATGGTAATATGTCTGTTAAGAATCACTTAGTGATGACTTACATGTTTGATGTGTCACTGTCATCGTCAGCATCATCGACATCGAACTGTTGTGAAGAAAGTTTTGGTAAATTCAATAACTCGTCATTTAAACAAGAATCATCCTCTTCATTACTTACATGTTGCAACGGAACAAACAACGTCTGCACAGCCTTATCACCATCACTTTTCAACCGTCTTCGCCGTATCATCCTTAACACATCACCAGTACGGCAAACAGATCAGATCGGCTGATTTTCTGGAATGAGAAGCCTTCATGTTATCGAAATCACTAGAAAGCAGCAAATTTCTTGATCTGTTTAATAACAAGAGAAATGAGAGGAATTGGAATTGGAAATCATTTAGAAGTGAAATTCATAACATTTCGGAAAAGAATTAGAAAATGAAAAAAAAGGAGATGAAATCATGACAATAATATAATCCTCATAGCAACTCCAAAAGTCATTCCATATCATTCAGCAAATTAAAGGGATAATGACGAGAAGGTGGGTTGAGCCTAAAACGTGATTAAGCAAAAACGAGAAGAAACACAACGGAAATTGCAGAGGGCGAGAGCAGGAAGATAAATGAGAATGAAACATGAAATTCGTCAATTGAAACCAATGCTTTAGAGCAAAGAAAAATTGGAGAAATTAAAATAACGATTAAAATTCGACTTTCCTAACAATGCAAAACTACTTCCATGCAGTTACTTATAGATAAAGGTCAATAACTTTTACCCATGGAACTGCACGACTAATTTCGATCGTGCCACCAAGTAGCAGAAAAAGCCTCTTGCATAATCACAAGAATACTGTCATTTTGCTACTTCAGGCTAGGAGTGAGTACATTGAGGTGTAGGCAGGAAAGGAAATGAAACAAGAATGGTAGCGTAATGATCTCGTATAATTCTGGATTTTTTTTTCTTAGATGAATTTTTTTGAATTTCGCTGCAAAAAAACGAATCTTATTTGGTTGATAAATCATAAAATGATTTTAAATTGCTAATCGATATATGATTCAAATCATTTGATTTGAAATTTAACATTCTTTTCAGTATGTTGCAAACGAATGGTAGCTTGAGACAACAGATTGCACTCTAAGGACCGCGTATTATCTTGCTACTGTGACGGATTTCTCTTCGTTTCTGTTTCAGACCTTTAATTACGGCTGGAATTGTCAAGGCTCGGTGGAAAAGTGGGGAAAGACATAGGAGATTGATGCGAATGTGCTGATACATTGAGAGAAATGTGGAAATAAGAAGCTAAAATTACTGTTTAAGTTGAAGGAAAAAAGAGTAATAAATTAGACAGACACATTTATGCAAATTATCATTGTATTTAAGGAAAAATGAATCCGTTGACGAATATCCGACAGCAGAATAAAATTAATGAACGAGAATTATTACTTGGATTTACCGGAAGCAGCAGCAAAAGCTGGCACCAGAAATATTCCAGTTCAGCGTGGATATATGTTGGTGGCTTGCCGTACGATCTTAACGAAGGCGATGTTATTGCTGTCTTTTCGCAGTAATTTTTCTTTACGAAACTTTTTTTTCTTACTAATTGTGCGAAACATTTATTGCCGAATTCGGAATAGCTTTATGAACCAAACTGTTATTTGTGTCGCTACCGCATTACTACTTATGCTATCCCGTATGCTAATGTTGATATTATTATCGTACTCGTTCTGGTACCGGTGCAGGTGTCAGGATAATCTTCAAAGCAACTTGTTACACCTGTCGCGATATATTCTTTTCCATACTATCATCATGAAAAATTTCCTTCAGAGTTTTATAGTTCAGCACAAAGGCATGGCTGTTGGGTGAAGGTATTATAAGGAATAAGACAAGTATCAGTAATATTAGTGCTTGTCTTACTCCTTATAATCAGATGAGATATTTCACTAAATTTAATAACTTTTGTTATACATTATTTTTTCTAGTTAACTTACCCTACTTTTATTTCTGTTTCATTTCGTAAAATATCCGAATCTTGATTTTTGGATAAATTATCACATACAAAAGCGGTCCCCCAGAACATGCGTAATGAAGTTGTTAATAACTTTTGTTTGTGAGCCAGCAATACAATTAAAATTAACATTAAATTCTGAAGGTAATATTGCGCATTTAGCTTTGATAATATAAATGGTTATTCTTTGACGATAACTTTGGAATAAAATAGGTTATTGTAAACGCTTTGCATTAGACTCCAAAAAAGGATTCTTAATAGATGTATTCTTGAGAAAAAAACAATAGTAAGAAAACTTTTGATTGAATGAAGTCTTGCGAAATTGTACTGTTTGGGGAAATTCTACGGGATCAGAATTTTGTTATTACACTGATTATACTTAAAGGCCATATTGCAGGAATTGTTCAGCTACTTTTTTTTCGTCTCCCACTTTTTTCCAGTCATTGCATTATCTTCTGAATGGGGCCATCACATATCTGATTTTTCTTTTAATTACGGTGCGGTCTAACTGCGAAATCAGTGCACTAGTGGTTTGAATGTAAACATTTTTTTTAGATATGGTGAAATCGTGAATATCAATTTGATTCGAGATCGTAAAACAGGGAAATCACGAGGCTTCGCATTTGTCTGTTATGAAGATCAACGATCAACTATTTTAGCTGTTGATAATTTCAATGGAATTAAGGTTTATTATAAAGTTGCAGTTCTGGAAACTGAAATATATTTTTTTGGTTGAAAATGATTGTTTTCTGCTATTATGAATTACGAATGATATAAGGAATATATATATATATATATATTTTACGAACTAAGATCTCAACATTTATTTATAGCTGTTGAAGCGAATTATACGTGTAGATCATGTGGAAGAGTACAAAGTTCCAAAATATCATGAGGATATTGATGAAGAAACACGACGAATTTGGGAAGATGGTTGCGCTCCGAAACCAATTGTTATACATCAAGGTTTGTGCATTGATTTGTAGTTGAAAATAATGGTTTTTTGAAGGAATATGAAACTGTAACTTTATTTAATTAATAAAGACTGACATGTAATTTAATGGACTTGTTTTCCTGTTCCTAATTAATTCTGATGTTAAGAAGACGATTCAGAAGATATAGATCCAGTTGAGACACTGAAGAAGAAGGGAGCAGTTGATGAGGTTGGTTTTTTTGTCGAAATCAATGAAAGTTTGGGATAGAAGAACTGTATTATCTGTGTGTGGTTTTCTGCCTGGATAAAGAAATAAAACAATTAGCAGAACAGTGATATTGAAAGTGTGGATTACATGCGTCCATCATAAATTCGGAAGGAATTTCACATATCTTTCGTATCTTTTTATTATTTTAGAACTTTCTCTTTTAATTCTGAAGTGATTATTTTTGTTTTTAAGCTGTTTGCATACTTTGCAGGATGGTATTGTGAAAGTGGATAAAGCTCTGGAAAAGAAACTGAGAAAAGAGCAAAAGAGATTAAAGAAAGAAACAAAGAAAGCTAGGAAAGAGGAAAAACGGCGCAAGCGAAAACTTAGAGAAGAGCAATTGGAATTGGACAAAAAGATTGAGGACAATGCTTCTTGGAAGAAACAGAAAAAATTAATTGATTTAGAACCCGTTAAGGTAATGTTCCTATCAGACAAAATTTTCCAGTATTTCCATTGCAGATTTTCTTAGATTACTTTAGCCTCCTATTTTTTCTTAAGTCTTAATCGTCTGTTTTCTTGTTCTTTTCACGCATTTTATTGTTTTTTCACTTGCTTCATTACATAGTTTATGGTTCCTTACTTATTTAACGCATTGTGTACCTTCAGGAAGAGGAAATCTATGGTGGTAATGAACACTTCAATTTTGGAAAACCGAGAAAGGAAATTCCACCTCCTTCGGCACACAATCCTAGGCCCGACTTCGAAAAGGCTGACTGGCGTGATATAGAAATGTGGAAAGCAGTACGTGAAAAGGAAAAACAGGAAAAAGGAGAAAAAGAAACAACGAATTGGAAGGAAGAAGAACATTATTTGCCATCCAGGTTTCGAAAAGAGTGATTATCTTTGCAGCTGTATTCTTTTACTGATCTCATTTCTGTGACGTTTTATCTTTAGGCCATTTTATATCATTGCATGTCTCTAATTGAAGGTGACTTGTGTATATAAGGAAATAAAAGACCTCTCGCTTCGGCATTTTTTACTTGTTTAAAGTCTTATTCTGTATCAAAGCGAACTTATAGATTCTCCTGATCTAATAATATTATCCTTTTATCAATTGATAAATGTTTTAAGACAGTTAATACAATTGAGTTAATACATGAAAGACAAAAAAAGTTCTTTTTAATGCACTTGCTAGATCTTTTCTCAAAATTTCTCACCGTTGCGAAACAAATTGCGGAAAAAACTGTGGATTACTTCATTTCTTATAGAACCACAGCAAAACAGATTGAAATGAAAAGAAATAGTGAAAAGTTAAATAGTGTAAACTGGAGATCTCATATCACTTCACTTTGTTATAGTCACGCTTGTCACGCTGGACTGATAATTTCATTCACGCTGGACTAATAGTTTCAATTAAATTAAAACCATCACTGGAAGTAGGAATTGTTATTTCTAGATGAATCAATTATTCGTAATTTTCTATTATAACGCGCTATAATTATCAATAATTTAATAATAGGATTACTTTGTCCCATATGTATTATCCCCAGTGACTGGGATTTTTAGTTGAAAATTTTTAATTATGTGTATGAAATAATTGAGAAGTGTATTAAATTTTATCTCGCAAGTGAATTAATGCATTATTAACTGTAAACACAATATGAGATAGAATCATTTCGGAAGAAGCAGTCTGAAGATATCAAAATATCTGTCGAGTTCTTTGCATTTCTAGCGAACTGCAAGAAATTTCCGGAAAGTCTTGTTTGTGAAATATTCTTTTTTATTCTTTCTAGGGATCTTTTTTTTGATTTTTTAAAACTTGTTTGGGTAAGATTAGCTTTCACAAGGCGAGAAAATCCAAAAAAAATGAAATTGCAAATAAAAAAATTATTACAATTATATATCGATTCGAGAACCAGCGGTTTTGCAAAATTTTAAAACTAATTTCCGGAGATAAATATGCGGAAGTACTCTTCATGCTTATTAATCAGTAACAGGATTTGTGCTGTAATAAAGATGAACGAAATATGTATCATTTATCATTTCAAATATCAACCAACAGCATTCTCCGAAGGATGTAAAAGCTCTCCGTGAAGT